AACCCCTTCGCCCGCCTGGACAACTGCCCGCGGGCCTCCTCCGAAGGCCCGGACGCGCGGCCCCGCCGGCCGCAGGAGGGGTCGGCCCCGGTGAGTGCCTCGGTCGGGCCTGGCCGTCAAGGGCGCTGCCCCTCGGGGAGGGCAGCTGCGGTTCGAGGCTGGGAAAGGGCGCGAAGAGTTGGTGCCGCCCGGGGCGGGAGGGCGTCCTGGGCCCTGCAAACGGCAGCCCTCCGGAGTCCTGGTTTGTGGCGGCTACCCTGCTGTGGACGGGCTGGCCGGGCTCCGGGCGGCCCACCACAGCCCCAGCCCCAGTCCCAGTCCCCTGGAAGAGGGCCGGGAAGAACGTTCGGACACCCGGTCCTGGATGGGGTAACACAGGAACCTGCCCTCCTCCGTGGGCTGGGCTCCCTCCTTTCACGTCCTCAGAGTTTTCTGGGGATGAAGGAATGTGAAGGTAATTTGGGGTGAGATTTCGCTAATGTGTCTTCCCCTAAAGCCTTTTTGGATCTTTTGGTTAAGGTTTACACATCAGTTACTAATTGTGCAAACATCTACCTGGCCCCTTTGCCCTTAATTTTAAAGTTCAGACAAAACAAAGTTGTTGTTGTTTTTTCTTTTTGATATCTTCAGCCTTTAGATTATAAAAGAGAAGATGATTCCCTATTGGAAGAGCTGTTTCCCGAAAAGACGACTATCACTGAACCATCCGAGGTAATACTTGTTAAATGCTATCAGGTGTTACATTCTTATAAATTCGTACTCAGAAGCATTTTTTGCTTCACAAAGAAGCTTGAGCGTGATCCTCTATACTAGGGTTGGAACGGTGGCATCAGCCAAGCTCCAGGACTTTGTGTGATAAAAATATTCACGCTAGAAACGTGGGTTGTCTCTCTACTCCCTCACTTTTGAATTCTTCTGCAGTGAGTGTCTCCTTCAACTCATCATTCAGAGACAGCTCCAGCTTGGCTACCCAATCTTCAAATACCAGATTGCCTCCAGAGACAGCACTGAACCTTGCTGTTGCTCTCCCAGCACACACACACTTTCTAGCTCAAGTATTTCCATTGTGATAGTTTGATAGTTCATACTTTGTCCTAATGGAGACAGCAATTTCCCTTGTACACATGAAGGGCTTTCATATGATGTCTGAGGTAGTTCCCCTTTGTGTTTTTGTGATGTTACCTAAAATAATCCTTGTAATGTGGAAAATACTGACTGGAAGAGCAACAGCAAAGCAAGTCAGAGGTAAGCTTATGAAGTCCAAAAATATTTCTCGGTGTGGCTCCTACATGGGTTTCCTATGAGAAGAGTAGCTTAGCCTTGGTTCCAGGGTTTCAGATGTTTAAAAGATACTCTTAAATACTGGGAAGAGGTTTCTTTTGTTTGTTTTTGTTTTTGTGTCAGACTTTTTTCTTGGCTGTGGGGACAGGGTAGGGGCAAGAGCAAGAGCAGAGACAAAGGACTTCTCCCTAAGGTCTTCTCTGCTTTGTATATCTTACCATTGGGGAAGTTTGAGGGAGACCAGTTTTTTAAGGTTTCCCTTGGCTGTAAGCAATGGGAGGCAACCTGGATGACCTCTGCACAAACCCCATGCACCAAATTGGATTCCCATGATTCTGAGTTCTAGCTTGGGTTGGCTGAGTTCTTTAGCATTGTAAAAAGTGAAATGTGCCCTTCCTCCACCACCAGCCTCAAAATATGTTCACTTCAAAATATGTTACAACAGCCTAGTTTAGATCCTTCCAGGCTCTTTCAATGTATAGTATATTTTTAATATTTATTATATGATTAGAATAATTTTGATGTTTGAGTGATCATAAATGTATTCATGAAGTCTTCAGGTTGCTGGCTTTTTTTCTTGGAAGTAACCTTTATGTTCTTGTTTTCTGAAAGACTCAACACCTATCATTCCTTGAATCGGATACTCCATCTTCAGAAAGTACTGAGTTACCTGTGGACTGGAGCATTAAAACTCGACTCCTTTTTACCTCTTCTCAACCCTTTACCTGGGCAGATCACTTGAAAGCACAGGAAGAAGCTCAAGGTCTTATCCAACATTGTAGGGCAGTAGAAGTTACTTTGCCCCAAAATATTCAGGTAATTCTGAAATAAAGTACCCGTGGCTTAAAGTGACAAGTATAAAATGCTCCTCTATAAAATACCAAAGATACTTCTTTCCATTAAAGTTTTCTGGTATTTAAAGACACAAAGGCAGAAAGTTTTGTTTCTCCGAGATAACATTTTCATGTACATTTAAGGTTTTTTAAGAAAGTATTGGGAGTCCAGTGCTGGTGGCTCACACCTATAATCCTAGCTACTCAGGAGGCTGAGATCTGAGGATCATGGTTTGAAGCCAGCTGGGCAGAAATGAGACTCTTATCTTCAATAAACTTCTCAGAAAAAGCCAGAACTGATGCTGTTGCTTATGTGGTAGTATGCTAGAGTCTTAGGAACAGCATCCAGGACCTGAGTTCAAGCCCCAGGACTGGCAAGAAAAAAAGAAAAGAAAGAAAGAAAAGTATTGGGAACTGAGAAATAACTGAGTAGGATTATAAAAGCAGAGATTTTTACTGATTTTTTTTTTTTTTTTACTTAGGACATGCTGTTTGTTTTTTTTTTTTTCCTTATACACAGATTCTTGTTACTTCAGTAATGGTCTTGTAAATTTAGTGAGTATAATGAGTGTATAATGGTTTTAGAGACATAGCTTCCTTACTGTGAAGCATCTCATCAACTCAAACTAGTTTATAAAGATATACCTGTAAGAGCACCTAGTGTATCTTTTTCAGTAAATGGATCGGGATGATAAATAATTTGCATTATGGGTGTTGACTGGCTACTTTCTAGTGTTTTCATAGGTGGAGGAGGACCCAAAGAGTGCTACACATACATTCCCACCCTTCATTGTAGAAAAGCTAGTCCTATTCTCAAGGGACTAGTTCCATCCAGAGAAATGGGAATTTTCTCCCTCTCTCTGGTTTCTCCAAAACAGTGTAATAGATCATTTATTGCTTGCCAGAAAGGATGTACTGCATTTTAACTCTGGGAAGAGTTAATTCTAGAGGTTAAAATTATTTCTGTGTCTAGGAATTTAGTTTATATAGGAAGCAGTAAGAGCCAGGCACTTGGTGGCTCATGCCTATAATCCTAGCTGCTCAGAAGAAGGCTGAGATCTGAGGATTGTGATTCAGAGATAGCTGGGATAGGAAAGTCTGTGAGACTCCTATCTTTAGTTTACCACTAGAAAACTGGAAGTGACACTGTGGCCCAAAGTGGTAGAGTGCCAACTTTGGGTAAAAGAGCTCAGGAACAGAGCCCAGGCCCTGAGTTCAAGCCCCATGACCAACCACAAAAATAAGGCAGTAGGATTCTTAGACAGAAAATTTGGTATAATTCTGTGTCTCCTGACTCAAAAGTAAATCTTCTGTTCCTCTGGATTTTAGGATCCCAAACTCTCCACTGATTTACGGTGTGCCTTCCAGCAGAGTCTTGTCTACTGGCTCCACCCTGCCTTGTCTTGGCTACCACTGTTCCCTCGTGTTGGAGCTGATAGAAAAATGGCTGGTAAGACAAGCCCTTGGTCAAATGATGAAGGCTTGCAGCACATTCTAATGAGTGACTGGTAAGATAATAGGCTTTCATAATATAATGGCGAATATACTGTATTTGTGACTTGGAAATAAATAGCAGTAAAAGGATCTTCATATCTTCCTGAATTTCACCAGGAACCATTAGTCACTAACATTTAAGTTGCTTTCCTTTTTTTCTTCTTTGTTCATAGGTCAAATATAGAATATATATGTGTACTAGATATATACTGACACATAGAATTCTTTTTTTAAAAAAATGAGTTTTTTTATTGTGAAAGTACTGTACAGAGGGGTTACAATCAAATGAGCAAGGTAATGAGTACATTACATAGAATTTTTTATCATTATTACCTATCAGTTTTACTTACATTCCTGTTCAGTATGTTGCTCAGAGCAAGTCAGCAATCAATTATAAATGAAGTGTTACAGAAAAACTGGTAGTATTAATGGTAATAAATAGTGATATGCACTATTTATTATAAGTGCCATGAAGTCATCAGTGAGATCCCATTACCACTAGCAGTCGTTTAAAGCCAAGTTGTAAATAACTACAGAAATTCAAATCCATTTCTGAAGTATTTGTCGTGTTTTAAACCAGCTGAGTATCAAATTGAATTGTACAAAATTACATTTTAAACTGAGTTAAATGCTTAATAACACCAAGAGAAAAATTCGTTTCTTTCATAGGTCTGTGAGCTTTACTTCTCTGTATAATCTGCTGAAGACAAAACTCTGTCCCTACTTCTACGTTTGTACCTACCAGTTTACTGTCCTATTCCGAGCAGCAGGATTAGCAGGGAGTGATGTCATCACAGCTGTCCTATCTCCTACGACAAGAGGATTGAGAGAAGCTATGAAAAATGAAGGTAAGAACTTAGGTTTGTAGTTCGAGTACTATCTTAATAGTAAACTTGCTTTAATCTGAATTGAGTTTACAATATACCTGTATTTTTATTTATTGTCTGTTGTGAGGCTTGATCTCTGGACCTGGCTGCTGTCCCTGCGCTCGTCAGCTCAAGGCAAGTGCTCTTGCACTTGAACCACAGCACCATTTCCGGTTTTCTGGTGGTTAATTGGAGATAAGAGTCTCCTGCCCAGGCTGGCTTTGAACAGTGATCCTCAGATCTCCGCCTCCTGAGTAGCTAGGATTACAGGCAGGAGGCACCAGCACCTGGGTCTACCTGTATTATTTTAAGAAATGTGTTCACTTCTAGATTTTGTTTGTATTTTCCTATTTGATAAGCTGCCTCTTCCCCATAGCTGTAAGTTAATCAGATGCCTTTCTCTGATCTCTGGAGTGAAGCACATAAAGAGCCAGAAAGTCAGTTTCTGAATGGCCTCCTCCAGAACGTCTTTTATGGTTAGGTACCTACCCCCCAAACACTTTCAAAATGGGTCATCACAGTCACTGATGGATATAACCCAGCATTCCGCACATTTTCAAAATCTAAACTGGAATGCAGTATAATTTGTGAAGAAGTAATACATGTACTGAGTTTATATAGTTTCCTGAACCTTCAATTCAAGGAGATAAATATATGTATCGTGGTATCAAGTTTCAGGCTAGAGGTAGATCACCTGTCTACCAAGTCTCAGGTCCTGTATTCAAAACCTCAGTACCAGCCAAGCACTGGTGGGGCCCACCTGTAATCCTAGCTATGAAGGACACAGAGATCCAGAGGATCAGTGTTGGAAGTCAGCCTGGACAGGAAAGTCCTTGATACTCCTTATCTCCAGTTAACTACTAAAGTGCCAGAAGGTGAGCTGTGGCTCAAATGTTGAGTGCCAGCCTTGAGCAAAAAAGCTAAGGGACAGAGCGCAGGTCTTAAGTGAAAATCTCAGTATTGAAGGGGAAAAAGGGAAAGCTTAGCTGGGCTTGTTAGCTTGCACCTGTGATCTCACCATTTTGGGAAGTTGAGGCAAGAGGATCATGAGTTGCATGCCAGCTTGATCTACAAGGCAGACTTGGTCTCCAGAGAGAGACAGATAGGCAGGTTCAAAAGGAAAGGAGCTTAGAGATTACTGCTTTAATATACCAGGTGTAAAAAGTCACATTTTGTTTTGTCCTCTAAAAGGACATTCTGTTAATACTTTTAAAGAAAACTAAGTCTGTTTTTGTTTTTCTCATGTAGGCATTGAATTTTCCCTGCCTTTAATAGAAGAAAATGCTCTTAAGAAGAAAGTATATGGAACAAGCTTGGGACACGGGGAGTATGTGATTAAAATAACCTTTTACATAGTCCAGTGGCTTAAAGATTGAATGCAGTCCATTTGTGAAAGTAACCATTTTGTGAAATTGGATCATTAACAACAGTGATTTCCTAGGGAGCAAGCAGGCAGTGATGAAGATGAAGAGGAAAGCTTTTCTTGGCTGGAAGAAATGGGTGTACAAGATAAAATTAAAAAGCCAGATATACTCTCCATCAAACTGTATCCTTTTAGTTTCTATTAACAGTATTCAGTTTTCATTGAATTTAGTGGTGAGTTTCAACATTGAACGGATTTTTAACTTACTATAATCTTAAATTATCTTAAGATTTTACTAATTCTCCATTAAGACAAAGCATTCAACTTTTTAAGTTTTAGGGAGAATAGTGTTTTGGGGTTTTACTGGTCCTTAGGCTTAGGTCCTTAGGACCTGGGCACTGTCCTTGAGCATTTTTGCTCGACTAACACTCTTATTTCAGCCACAGCACCAATTCCAGTTAATTGGAAATAAGAGTCTCATGGACTTTCCTGCCTGGACTAGCTTTGAACCCTAGCTTCAGATCTCACCCTCCTGAATAGTTAGAATTTCAGGCGTGAGCCAGTGGCACCTGGCAAGATTAAGTTAGTTAGTGAGACAAAGTATGTTGTTTTTGTTGATTATCAGTTTCTAGCAAATTTAGCACTTCGTTTAATGAACTTAGCACTATGAATGCAATGAAGGGGAGAGGGTCAGCAGCATTTTGTTTTGGGTAAAAGAGGTCCGAGGAGATTTAGAATTGAAATAACAATTTCCTTGTTGGTGTGGTTTATGCTTTTGCAGTTTCCTTGATTGTTATCTTCAGACGTAAAGAGAGACATGAAGTACAAATGGATCACAGACCTGAGTCTGTTGTGTTGGTGAAAGGAATCAACACCTTCACATTGCTAAACTTTTTGATTAACTGTAAGAGTTTAGTTTCTACCTCAGGTGTACAGGCAGGACTTCCACCAACTCTGTTATCACCTGTGGCTTTCCGAGGTGCCACAATGCAAATGCTTAAGGTAATTTAAAAAATTCTGTACCCAGCCAGTTCCTATACCATAGCTTTTGAGGGATAGATAAGAGGAGACAGTACTCCGTTTGCAATTGGTACACAGACTAGCACTCCTACCATTTGAACCATGCCTGAAGCCCATTTTGCTTTAGTTATTTTTCAGATAATGTTTCATATTTTTGCTCAGGCCAACCTGGACCAGTCCTCCAACCTATTCCTCCCACTTATTTGAGATAGTAGGTACACACATTATTCACCTTCTTGGTTGAAATGGCATCTTTTTCTTCAGGCTGGCCTCAAACTGCAATCCTCTTGAGTAGCTAGAGTTAAAGATGGGAGTCACTATGCAAGGGTTTCACATTTAAAGAAGTACTTTTTTAAAGATGAATTTTTCGTGTGTTTGCAGATCTAGGGGTGGCACTAGGCCTTGCATTTACTAGGTAAGCACTCTGCCACTTGATCAGCATCCTACCCTTTTTTAATTTTTCAGTTAGGGTCTACCATTTTTGCCTGGTGCTTTCCTCAGACACAGTCCTGTGTGACTGGCATGTACTAACTGCTATGCTCAGCTTTTTTTTTTTGTCAGTTGTGGGGCTACCTAGGCACTATCCCTAAACTCTTTTTGCTCAAGGCTAACTCTACCACTTTGAGCCACATCGTCACTTAGTTTTGGGTGGTTAGTTAATTGGAGGTAAGAGACTCATGATCTTAGCCTCCCTGAGTAGCTAGGATTACAGGCATAAGCTACCATCACCTAGTCTCAGCTTGATTTTAACAAAAGATCTCACCACCGTTTTTGCCCATACTGGCCCATGAACTTCAGTCCTCTCATCTTTACCTTCCAGATAGCTGGAATTCCATATGTGTAACACTTTGTCTGACCCTCATTTCTTGATTTTTTTAAACATTACTCTTACCACTTGTATTCATCATAGCATATTTTAGTGCCAAGGCTCTGAGTTCCAGCAATAGTACCTGCACATATACAACACACACACTGTAGGATCATAGCACTTGGTGTTTTTTTTTGGGGGGTCCAGTCGTGGGGCCTGAACTCTGGGCCTGGGTGCTGTCCCTCAGCTCTTCAGCTCAAGGCTAGCGCTCTACCACTTGAGCCACAGCGCCACTTCTGGCTTTTTGCTTATGTGGTGCTGAGGAATCGAACCCAGGGCGTCAGGCATGCAAGGCAAGCGCTCTACCACTGAGCCAACTTCCCAGCCCAGGATCAAAGCACTTGGAAGGCTGAGGCAGAATGATACCAACTTTTTTGGGTGTGCCAGTCCTGATCACAACTTTCAAGGCCAACATGGCCTGAACCACATGACAAGACCCTGTCTCAATTTAAAAAACCTTGGATCCTTCCTTGGTGAGAATACTTGTTCTAAATTTCTGTAAACAAAATGAGATGTATTGTTGAAAAAAGTTGCATATAAAATATGCATTAACAAGCAGGGTGCTGGCAGCTCCACCTGTAATCCTTGCTACTCAGTAGGTTGAGATCTGAGGATTGCAGTTCAAAACCAGTCTGGGCAGGAAAGTCCATGAGACTATTTCTAACTAGCCACCAGAAAACCAGAAGTGGTGCTGTGGCTCAAGTGGTAGAGTGCTCGCCCTGACCTGAAGAGCTGAGGGACAGCACCCAGGCCCAGAGTTCAAGTTCCAGATGGTCAATAACAACAAAAAACACATTAACAGCACAGAATGGATTTTGGAACTTCCCAGTAGCCATCCCATGTTTATGTATTAAATCAGGTAAGATGTATAAATTAAAGCCTCCAGAATATAGTGCAACTTAGAAACTCAAAAGAGTATGGTAGAGACTATTTTTACTCAGATTTGTGTTGAAGTCTTAGGAACTATTTTTATTCCATAATTATTAGAAAACCCCAAATAAAGTTATCAAATTTTGAACTAAGGGACTTGAGAGATGATCATAACTTTCTTTTTCTTTAAATTCTCATGAAGGCACGAAGTGTTAGTGTAAAGACACAAGCCCTTTCTGGATACAAAGATCAATTTAGCTTGGAGATTACTGGTCCAGTCATGCCTCATGCTCTACATTCTGTAACTATGCTCCTCAAATCTTCCCAGAATGGGTCATTCTCTGCAGTACTGTATCCACATGAGCCAACCACTGTATTTAATATCTGCCTGCCACTGAGTAAGGCACTAGATAAAGTAAGTATATTGTACTTGTGATTTCCTTTAGCTAGAAAAAGTATCTGTGCTGTTATGTTTGTCTCAAATTAGAAAACTAGGAAGTTGAGGTAACAAATCATGTCTCCATTTATACGTTGTTTTTTGGATTTTTCTGAACTTTAAGTGCTGTACCAATAACACCTCAAACCCATTTTCACCGCTCTCCCTGAGGCAAAGTGTTAACAGTACTTGATTCCTTCATAGTGCACAGAAGTAGTTCTGATAGGTATTTATATAACCATATTTGTCTTTATGCTTAGATTTCTATTTAGAGTAATTAATAGAGCCTATTAAAACTGGTATGTGCCTATCAGTTTGCCAGACCTGTAGACATATTTTACTGCCTTGGCCTATGTAAAAATTCTTAATTCTAACCACTAATCACATGAGTGATCCACTTTGTGAAGTTTCCCAGGTACTTACTAAAAAGTGTCCAACAACTTATGTGCTTTTTACTGACTTGTATAACATCTTTCCACAGGAAGTTGTCCATAAGGAGCTTGCTAATTGTGGTTTGCACACTGAGACTCTGAAACAATTTAGTCAAATACCAGTACTGGGGAAATCATCTTTACGAAATGTGGAAATGAGTGACTACAATTATAAATGGAGATCCTGAACACCAAAGTAAGCCTAAAAGGATTCTTTGAGGAAAAACCTCCTAGCAAGGAAATTCAAGATTCTGTTAAGCCTTTGACTTTTAAAGTTCATTTCAGGAATATACTTACTTAAAAATACTGAAATATTTATATAATTTCTTTTATTACAAGGACTGAGCAGTAGCACTAAGGTTTAAAGTCAACATTTGATTTTACTATTTTCATAGTATTTTCTGGTATGAAGAGGACAAACTTTTTAAACCTTAAATAACTTGGAGGAACATTCTCTCTGCAACCTAATTGTAAACTTGGTGGAAATCTGAATTAAAGACAGTGTTTCATTATTAATGGGAAACTGAAACATTTATAAACCTATAGCAGTCTTTTCTATGATATGGTGACTAAGGACATCAGGGCAAAGTATTACTCTTAACAATTTACCTACAAGTTTTAATAGATTGTCCATTTATGAAAGCAGGAAATAAATGTAGACAATAATGCACAAAGCTGATTCCAGAAGCTTCTATCTTAGTATCTTTAGTACTGATTTATTATTCTTCTAGTCTCTAGTACACTTATAATTTTTTCTTTTAATGCATGCTAATCCAAAGGGTATTTTGTACTTAGTATATGAGATGGATGGGTAAGTGGTCATGGCAAGTAGTTTTATTTAATGTGCTGCAGGTGTGTATGTGACGCCAAATGTGAAATTCAATGTTTTAAAATAAACATGCCTAGAAACCAAAGCGTTGGGTACAGAAATAAAGTAGTACTTAGGTGAAGGTGTACAGATTTACTTTATAATCAGAATAAAACACCACATTTATTTTATTCCAGAGAAGTTTGTATTTGGGCCTTAAGCTTTTGAAAATAAAGTTTAGAGACACATCATATGAATACCACTGTAATACACATGAAATATTCTATCAGACCCTAAAAATTAACATAAACTTAAGCTTTCTCATAGTCAACAAAATAGTGGCTGGTTGCCAATTTTATTAGATAAGTTGGTTACAGCATTTTAATTATCATTTACGTCTATCTAGGTGTAGCTGAAATTCAAAATGCACATCAAAGTAAAACTATATCACAACTCAAGCCATACTAAATATACTTGGCCTCTGCAGTAGAATTCTAGTCAGACTTCATTTTGACTCCCTTCTTATGATGCAAGTGGCTTTAATGGGAACGCAGGACTTAGTGCTGATCATTATACAATATACCACTTTCTTTTTGAAACCTCTACAAAATTGTAAGGGGAGATGGTAGCATTAGCCCTATGGAACAGGTCTCTTGTTTACCTCAATAACACTGGCCCAGTATCTGTCCAGCAGAACCCATTGTGAAATAGTACAAGGTGCACAGCCCTTCACTGATTACAGGCAAGTGTTACAGCAGCCTAGCCATAAGGAAAGGGAGTTACATCATAGTACAAAATACAGTATAAAAGCGTTATTATTTAACATTCCACACTGAAGATTACTGATGCCTTCAAACAATTGTTTGGATGTTAGCCACTTAAACAAATACATCACACTAAGGTAAACAATATAAACATACCAAAACCCTGTATGGTTAAATACAATTTCCATGGTACAAAAATCAAAGCCTGGAGATGTTTGTACAGATTGCTTTTTACACAATGTCTTAAATTGCCAAATATTTACAACGTTAAAGAGGAAATACATTGTGATGCAGAGTAAAATTATCTGAAATGATTAATATAAAACCTCAATCTATCTACGTGAGGCACTCCTGAAGCAAGTGGCATTAGCCATGAGGTCCTTTGGTACAAGGCCCATTGCTTGAAGAACCACAGTAGCTGCTGTGGCTTTAGCATGCTTCTTATTAGGGCTGGCAAAGCTGGGCTGGTAAGCGCTTCCATTTATCAATACCTATTCAAGAAAAACATACAATTGGGCTGGTAAGGGCTTCCATTTCTCAATACCTATTCAAGAAAAACATACAATAAGAACAGCATCAAACTTTAATATCTATTAGCTTTGTAATTTTCACTAAATGCTAAAAAAATATAAAAAACCCATACTATGTAAATTAAATTAATCTCAGCCCAGAAAAGGTAAATGTTTCACAAAATGGAACTGCAAACTAACAGTAGTTCTCCAAATTGGCTGATAAGGTATTAGGTTTCCCCCTGCGCACCAGTAGGTGAACAGATTTCCCACCAGATTCCCCCCCACCCATCTTCTATGAATAGGATATTCATATATTAAAGCACCCTTCAGTATTTAAAATCCCCACCACTTTGCCCCCACACCCAACACAAAACAGAGTATTAATCTGCTATGTGATTGTATCATGATCCCTTACCCTCTAACAATAAGTAACAATAAGTGCATAAAATTCATATTTACCCTAAAGAGAAAATGTTTGCGATGATCAGGGCCACTATCATGGACCAAGAGAAATTCAGGTGGCTGCCACCTTCTCTTATTACAGATTTCCATCAAGGCAGACACAGGATGTTTGCCTGCAGAGAAAATATAAGCAGTTAGTAATTCCCACCAACTTTGTAACAAATTAGAAATTCAACGTATGAGTGAGCAAGATGAAATTTTAAAGTGTTCTCACCTGAAAGGTCTTTCATTGCAGCAGAGAAGTTCCCAGACCTCTTTTGTGCTCTTTCTCCTACTGCAACAAGACCTTTTAAAAATAGTAAAAGCCAATGTTAGCTGAATGAATTACAATAATCTCAGTCAAATAAAATTTAATGGCTTCAATCAGGGATGGGTGGCTCATACAGTGATCCTAGCTACTCAGAAAACAGATCTGAGGATCACAATTTGAAGACCAAGCAGTTCAAAACTACCTTGAGATTTATCTCCAATTAACCACCAAAAGCCTAGAAGTAGAACTGTGGCTCATGCAGTAGAGCACTAGCCTTAAGCAAAAAAGTTCAGGACAGCACCCTGAGTTCAACCCCAGGATTGGCACACAAACACACCCAAAAAAAACCAGATCCATATCACAATTAGTCTCTACATAAATCTTTAGTTCTTTTATTTAAATGTGCAAATTTTTGTGTGGGGCCTGAACTCTGGGCCTGGGCACTGTCCCTCAGTTCTTCAGCTCAAGGCTAGCCCTACACTACTTGAGCCATAACACCACTTCCCGCTTTTTCTGCTTATGTGGTACTGAGGAATCAAAACCAGGGCCTCATTCATGCAAGGCAAGCACTCTACCATTGAGCCACCTTCCCAGCCCTATATATGTACAAATTTTTTTAATATGGTTTATTTGATTCACCCAAGCTGGCCTCAAACTCAATTATTAGCTTCTTCAGCAAGTACTACTAACATGCCCAGCTTATCTTTGTTTTAACAATTCTTTAATATGTTCCCCAAAGGGCTGGGATTTGGGTTTATTCATTCATTTTTGTGCTGGAACTGGTGCTTGAACTCAGAGCCTGAAGCTCTTGCTTAACTTTTTCTCTCAGGGCTGGCACTCCACCACTTGAGACCTACTTCCAATTCTATTTGGTGGTTAAGTGTATCATAGACTTTTCTACCCAGACTGGTTACAACCTTGCTCCTCAGATGAACGTGTAGTGCCACCTGAAGGGAGCCCAGCAAGACTAGAACACTTATTGCTAAAATAGTAGTGTGCCTGTCTAGAAAACATGAGGCTAAGTTCAAACCCAAGTTCTAAAGAAAAAAGGCTTTTAAAATAAGGCAGTGTATTCAAGTGGTGGTACAGCCTTTATCATAGTTAATCCTCATTTTTTGTTTAACAAATATGAAGTGTTCTAAAGGTATAAACTGTAACCTATCTGTACAACCACTCCCTAAATTTATTAGGTAAGGGATTGATGATATTACAAACTCAAACAGTGGTTTCTCAATTTCCATATATTTTCAGGAGCCCTCCTTTGCTAATTACATGCTAGTAAATTAACCTTCCCTGGGAAATTATCTTTTACATTAAGAATGCACCCTAAAATTCTACAATACATACTTAGTATATTTTGGCTAGTCCATACAAATTTATAAAAAACAAATAACTAATTCCAACTTATGTCTGACTACAAAGGAAAAGTATATTCATTTTTAAAAGCCAAGTCTGACAGAATATTCAAATACTGAGCTAACAGCCATTGTGATCTTACTTTACAACATTTTTTTACCAGAAGGAAGACCTTATTAAAAGATACCAATGGCTATTATCTCAGTATAAGTGAATTACTAGCAGACTGCAAAAGCCTCCAAGTTCCAAATCTATCTGTTGATAGAAAAAATTAATTAAGAAAGAAACCTTCTGGGGGTGGAAATAGGTAAAAGAATATTTGACAAATAACGGTGAATTATACAAGAAATACCTCAGGTTCAGGGTAAATAGGACAGACACACACACATGTACTAAGTCTTGCAGTAAATGAACATTTCAAAAATATCTTTTTACCTTTTCGGTCTGTCTTAAAATCAACAAGAATAGGTTCCTTATTTCCTTCTTTGTTTTTTCCTAATCCTTCTCCTTCTCTCCAGCCCATTTTTCTCATCAAAACTGCTCCCATTCCGCCAGTTACTGGGGCTGCTCTTAAGAACTGATCCTATCCAAAGAAAAAAAGGTAAAATGTCCCCATTTGACAGTTAGAACTTGAGTACAGATGTACTGGCAACTTTTCAAAAAGATAAATCTTATTTTACTTCTGTATCTGTAACAACAATTAAACTTAAAGTATTTCTGTACTCAATACATATATATATATATCCATGTTCTAATTGTTTTCATGTTAACATTAATAGTTTGAAAATCAAATGGCAATTTGAAAACAGTAACCCTTCATGCCCCTCCTCCAAAATAAAAAATAGAACACTCCTGTTTTCGTCCACTATTTAGGATCACTGGTACCTCTTCTTAGCTTGTAAAAATAAAAAGAAGGCAATGTTAAAAACAGTCAATAATAATTATGCCAGGTGTACCTAGTTTATGAATAAAGCCCAGAAATTATTTAGTAGTTTGGACACTGAAGAAGCATACTTTTGTCATCCTAAGTTTTTTTTCCCCCATTCTACCATAAAGCAAGAATAATACTTTAGACAATCCCTATGAAAAAGTTAATTCTAAACTTACACAGTAATAAATCGAAGATAATCACATAAAATACCCTGTAAGTATGCTAAAATGAATCTGAATTCTTTTAAAACCTAACTCGATGTTAAAAGACTTTTTAAAAACTCCTTAAATGTTTACATACCTAGGCCTCGGTAGCAGCAGTGTTGTGAATAGTACGGCTGGCACTGACCGGGGCAAGTAGACAGCTACAAGGATTTGGCCCTGAAACAAGTTTCCATACAGAGGGGTGAAAGTTCACAGGTTATTCTGT